CTCAATTATTTCAGTTTTGAAACTGGAGCAGCTAATATATTTAGCACAATTTATCATAAATGTAACACCTGTGATTTTCCTCATTAAAAGCAAAATTGACTGGTTCAAGGGTTGAAAGGGCAGGGTATGGACTACAAAACAGCTAGTTAACAAAACCATTATACTGCTTTATTGATAAAGCTCATTTCTATTCATCAGATGATTAGTTCAATCAATATTTACTCCTGTGTGCATCTTCAGCTACAAAGCACACATTCTTCAATTTTGCAGTGGAGACCTTAATTTCTGGGAACTCACTGCACCACTTGTGTGGTAGAAATGTTTTGGATAACTTGGGAATCTTTCAGCCCTTGTTTTCCTCTATCAGGTAACCAATGTGCACACTATGGCAGACCCTGGGTCCCAAAATTGTTTAATAAAACTCAGTACTGTTGAAGGTATACCTTACCCACATGTTTCTGCGGATGCAAACGTCACTATGATATACAGCCATACCTCCCATAGTGCCCTAAAGACCTTCCACAAATTATCAGAAGTACATTTCAAACAGGAATTATGACTTCCAGAATTCTTGTCTACTCAGAACACTTTTTTCCTGATAGATTCACTCCTAAATGCCAAAAATAGTTTTTAACCATAATACACAATTTAAATGACCTCTACTACTCCACTGTCAAATTAAAAAAACCACAGCAACTTACGGCTCGCCACTGGATTTGGAGAAGACCAACAGTGGAAGTCAGATATTTTCCATACCACAAAAAACAAATTATTTTCAGCCAGTGTACATGGTATTTTTGCAGTTTTTAAATTAACTGTCACTCGACTTCCATCTATGAAAAACAAATGTAACTTTAAAAGAATAATTATATTATGAAAAAATTCTTATAAAATGTCTATTTGTTATTAAATCATATTGTTATCTATTGATGAACTTTCATTATATATTCTCCTTTGATCCCTAATATAAATTGAAGATACCATATGGAATGTAAGTACGATCCAATGCAAAGTAAAAGTATTGCTGAGGTAATAATGGGCACTCATGCTTTCCCTTTTACTTTTGTTCCTTCTGCAGAGGTGTCACTGTTTATTGACTATATACAGCTGAATTTTTTATTACACAACACAGTTTATTACTGACTCACAATTTTCAAAGCATTTACTGACATTTATTAAATTTTACCTGCGAACACCTAACACCAGAAATTTGTGCTTTATCACATATCAAGGAGTCCCAATGAAGTCAAATAACATTATTCAATTAAGGAGTTGCTAGATGCACTACACTGTGAGGACAAACTGGTTTTACAATGGTAGGGTAAGGTCCTAAGTCCTTCCTTAAATATTCAATGCAATCGATGAATTTTAGAATACTAATGTTACATATTACAAATAGAGACATATTTACTTTTCCTGGAATAAACTGCAAAATAATTTTCCTTTGAAGTTAATGAGTCTATAAAGATTCCCTGCACTCATCTACTCAATTAAGGAGAACTTCTAAGCAAGCCAGTCTCTTTATATGCGTTACTTAATAAGCTGGCTTAGAAATACTGCTTGTAGAATTTGAGCACTTTTATAATTTCTTACAAATATTTCAGTCATGCTAAGAAAATGGAGTAACTACATCATGCAACATGTATTATTGCTGATCCTGACACCAACAAGAAAAAACTACACATAAAACTCAAATAACTTGGTTTCAGGGAGTTGTGGTGGTTCTTTTCTTTAGATGTAACAAAAAAAGCTTTAGTAAGATTTTCACCTAAAGGTTAAAATATTACTTTTGTAATAAGTGAAGTACTTGGGTACTAATGTCACTTTCACAATTCAAATAGATACAATCACAAAATTGACTTTTGTATGTGTACGAGTACCATGTTCCCAGAGTAAAAGTAGATATTTTGACACTTTTTTTTGCCACAGTTAACCTTCCACACTTGTGTAACAGCTGCATTATACACAGAACTAACTTTTAATAGCTTTAAACTTTACAAATAATTTTAGTAGGAAATGAACTACAAGGAAAAATATAAGACTTGTTTTTCAGTTAAATAGCACAATCATTTTAGTGCGTTTTCTGTTCTCTTTTACTAAAAAATATACTGAAGTACACATTCTATGTTCTTAACTCCCTCACAGGATGTTGCCAGGAGTGGGACAGATGGAAGGAAGACTGTGATGAATGCTCACTGTAAATTTCTTTTACACCTATGTTTGCCTCTATAAAATACTGGTATAAAAGTCATCAACTCCAAAAAAACCCCATTTTCCATTCAGAGGGAAATATCAGGACCTACCATATCAACAAATGCTCAGTGCCCTGTATATTGCTCTGCTATAATTCAGTATGGCTACATATGCTTAATGGGATTGAAATCAAGGTTTGAAGTCCAGAAAATTATTATTTTGGATGAAACATGACCAATGACGGTAACAAAAGCTGTAAACTGGCTTCCACAGGACGGGATAACTAACAGTCTACGTGGCTCTCCGGTGCTCGAGGATTCAGCAGAAAATAGCCAGGTTAGGTATTTTCGGGCACTTTTTGGCCTCCGTCTCCAATGTGGAGCAGTAATGAACCACAGCAGCCCCTGTACATCCCATATCCCAGGTATTCTGTGCCAACTGCCCCAACCACAGCTTGGAAGGATCACAGCTCAGCTGGGAAAGTTCGGGGGAACAGACCACACGCTCAAGACTGAGCACTTCCTCCTTCAAACCAACTGCAAATACAGTTGAAAACAACTACATCCTTACAAGAAGGCTCACAGCTCTCTAAAAGCATCAGTCCATGGGAGCTCACAATCTGTGAACTGTGACACTCGTTTATTTCCATTATTTGGAAAGCCACAAAGACAGATGCTCAATTAATGTGTAATGTTCCTTTTTAATTGAGGTGGTATGAAGCACTGCTCTTGCCTTGACACACACCTGTTGCAAAAACTTCATTTTACTGACCTCTTGCACATGATATAAATAAGAATGAAAGCTGCCTGTTTGTTTTTCTCCTCCATCTCCCCCCCAGCCCTTTTTTCCCCACCTGTAAATTCCCCATTGAGTAAGCATAAATACAATGCAAATACTAATTTGCATTCTAGGGGCAGAGCTGCACCTCTTCACATTGGCTGACAGCACAGCTAAAGGGGTGGCAGAGATGGTTAAGGAGCTGGGGCAGATCCCGCAGGAGATGTAACCAGATGTGCAGCAAGATCTGCCTCCCTCTCCCTGCCCAGCACAGCTAGACCACCCCGGGCCTTGTTTAGAAGGAAAGTGTCTGAGGAGAGGGACGACATTACTCATCACCCTTGTGCAGGCCACCCCAGGGCAGGGGAGGAGAGGCATGGGAGCCACAGCTTGTGAGGATGAGCTGCCCACAGAAAGGGGAGCTGGGGCTCCTGACCAGGGGTCACTGGATGGGCACGTTTTTAAAAACAGCCCCTGAGACAATGACCGGCTTTACTCAAATTGGAGGCGCTCTGGTGCGCAGAAGAAGAAAGAAGGAAAAAACCCAAACCAAAACCACAAACAATACCAAAACCCACACAAACCCCATAATCAAACAAATAGAAAATCTCCAACCCAAGCTGCAAAGCTGCAACAGGGGCCACTCCACAGAATTACGTGTTTTCCCTTGTTTCCTGTTGCTCTTAAGAAAAACAAACAACGTTTAGCAAGTTCTTGCCAGATGCCCCACAACCAACACCCTAACAAAGAACGCTGGGGGAAAAGAAGGTCTTTCTAAGTCGATCTGTGCCAATGTCATGGCTACAATTCTTTTAAAGCCAATTACACACGTGTGATTTGTTAGTGCTGCTAACACATGCTGTTACAGGAGATGACATCAAATAAGCTGAAATTCTAGCTAGAAGTTCTTTACAGTACGTGTGTGTGTGTCCCATCCTTAAACAGAAGATCAAGAAATCTGCATGCAGTGCCGCTGTCAACCCCCAGCGCGTCCCACTCCCCATAAGCCCTTCTCCTCCGTTCCAATACCCTGGTAGAGACTACTTTTTGTCCCTTTTACCATGCCATGGGTGAGGTAAGCAACCGCCCTACCAAACTGGGCGATAAAGGGTAAGGTGGTAAGGTGGAAGATGGGGGCGGAGGAGCTGCGTAAACCCCGCGGACGCCCGAGGCTGGCAAGGGTTGCTCTTGCCCCGGTGCTGGTGTTCGTCCAGCCCGGGGATGGGGCCCAGGGGAGTCTGGTCTTGGGAGACAGGGAAACAACGCATTCCCATGTCCTCCGCAGCCCTACACACCCACCCGGGTGCCCGGCGTGCCAGCACGCAGCCTCCCTCCATCCCCACCGGACACCGGCAGCTCTCCATGCCTGAGGGTGTCCCGTCGGTGGCTCCGGCGGGACCCTCACCGAGTGCGGCTGCAAGCCCCGGAGGAATCTCTCCCGCCCTCCACGATCGGGCTGCGCAGGCAGGACAGGCTCAGGACCCGAAGAGACCTGCGGGCACGGGGAAGGGGTTCCCGGGCAGCGCAACCCTTGTCGCCCAGTTAGCAACCCATGAGGAATGGGGGCCTCCAGACGACGTGCCGGTTGGGGAACAAAGTCGACGTAACTTTTGGGGAGAAAAAGGGAGCCCCTCTCCATGCTGGCAACGACCCGGGACCAAGCGGCAGCGGGTTCCGCCGTACGGGACACCTGCCGCGCCCCGCGGGCAGCTGCAGGCGGGGACCTCACAGCACAGACACGGCCAAACCCCCGAGACTCCCTCCTGCCGGCCCTTCTGCCCCGGGCCAGGGCGGCGCCGGGCTCCCCGGGACACCTACGCGAGGGGTGTCGCCCACCATCCGCCCGGAGCCTCCTCGGTCTGGGTCGCGGCCCCCGCGGGCGCAGGAATCAAACCCTAAGTAGCCACGCCGGCGGGCGGGCACGATCCATCAACTTTCTCCCTCGGACCCTCTTCCCTAGTACGAACCCTCTTCTCCCGCCCGTTCACCAGCAGCTTTCCCAAAAGACAGCCGCTCGCCGGCCCGCTTACCTCGCATGGTGTTGGTTCCCCGCTCCGCGCAGTCATGAAGCTAGGAGCCCAGGAACCGCACCGCACAAATCCCGTCTCAACACCCGCGAAGGTGGCAGCGGCCGCAGCTCCGCTCCGCCGGGAAAACCATACCTCCGGGGCGGCTCCGCGGGGCGCGGCTCCGCGGGCTCCCTGCCGCCGGGCGCGCTGCTCCGGGGCGGCCGCCCCGCGACTGCCCGCGGCTCAGCCTCTGCGGGGGGCGCCTGGCGGCCGAGCGGCGGCGAGGGGCTGAGCAGGGGCGGAGGAGGAGGAAAGGAGTTACGTTAGAAAAAAACAGGAAAAACACGCGGAGGCAGAAGAGAGGGGGGTGCCGCGTGGATGGCAGAGCATGTGCGCTTTCACATGACAACGGCGCCCCTCAGCAGCTCCCCGGTGCGGATTTCCACTGCGCAGCCACAGCAACGCACGGAGCGAAAATGAGACCCAGTGAGAAAGCGGCAAAGAGGCTTATAGCGGGGGGTGGGCGGTGCTGCCGCCGCCGCCCCGCCCGCTGTCAGCGCCGCCGCCAATCGCCGCGGCCCGCCCGGCTCCGCCGCCGCGGGTGGCCCCGGGTGCCGCCGCCCGGCCCGGCCCGGCCCGGCCCGGCTCGGCTCGGCCGCGCGGGGTCCGCGCCGCAACTTGCGCTCGCCCCGGGAGCGCCGGCGGGTCCTGCCCGGCAGGCGAGGCTGGGCGTGGTGGGGCAAGGATGGGACCGGCGTGCAGAGCTCTGGAGCTTGTGGAGGAAGGCAGCGCGCGCAGAGAATCACCCCGTTGTGGCGTTGTTAGTGAGGACGCGGTGTCTGCGGGGAGAAAGGCGAAGGCGCTCGGTCACCACGGTGTGACCCTCATCGGAAAACTTCATTTTCCGACGGGAGTGGGAAAGTTTGGTGGTGAGTCATTTTCTCATTAAAGAGGGAATCTGGACGTCGAAAGCAATTGTTTTCCGGTGTAAGACTAGCAGAAGGTTCTGCAGAAACCGGTGTGTTTCTGCGGCCAGCAGGGTTTTCACGACTCACAACTCTCCCCCTGCTTAACTGATAGACAAACTGATGTTTGTCCCCCAAAAAACAAAAAACCCAAACAAACAACCCCCCCCAAACAAACAAAAGAAACAAAAAAGGCAACAAAAACCACCCAAACAAACAAAAAGAGTATGGGATCTTTTCAATTACTGTTTTGTTTTGGTTTTTTTCCTGTAAGATAGATCATGGAACACAATCGAAGCTCAGTAACACATCCTAAAAACAGGTCCCTATTACCAAGGTTTACAGTTCCTAGCTCTAAGCCTAAAATGAAAAAAAAAGCCTCTGCTTTAACTAAAATGTATATAGTAACAAAGTTACTGTATCGACATCATAAACCAAAATGGGATACATAGTTAAAACTGTTTAATTAAGTTGAGACATACCAAAATAGATTCATTTGTTCCTACATGAATGATCAGACTGAGTTCTATTAGGTCTCTTTTGCAAGAGGTCATAGGTATGATGTCTTTTGCCGTCTTAAGACTTTTTCTAGGAAAGATACAAAGTGAAGTGCCCACTGTTAGTGCAAAGTGGCAAAGCTTTATTCTTGGGGAACAAGGTTACAGGGTTTAGAGGAAGCAAGTTCGTGTGGTTAGCCTGTTTTAAACACCTGTTTGAATTGCAACTGAAAAAGAAATGAAAGAATCAACTCTGCCAGTATTGCAAATGTCTAGATTTAATTGAACATGGTGAATTTTGACTGTATTCACTGTAGTGAACACAGGGTCAGTAAAAAAAAAAAAAAAGAAATTTCGTAATTCCTAAGATATTAGATTGTATTTGTATTCCTCACTATTGTATTTATGCAATTTATATACTGCATGCAAAGTTGTTAGGACCTCATCCAGAAACTTTTACCAATTACTTGGCTTTTAGTCTACTTATATCAGCACACCTTTCAGTAACAGTTACGTGCTCTCCATCTTTTCACTTCACAAGACATGGAATTTACAGTGGCATGTTTTCTTTTTAATTGGGATTTTAGCAGATGTGGCTGGTGGCAGTTAGGCTTGCCTCCAGGATTCTCTTCTATGGATTTTCCCACAAACCATCTCTTCAATCTGTTCCTCCTGTTCAAAAGTTTCTGAGGTAATTGCAATAAAACAACTCTTACTCATCACTTTGCAAAGCATGTTAGGAAGTCTCATCTCATAATAGGTATAATTTATCTGGTATCTAGTATGAAATTTAGTGAATAGTGCTTATGGCTCTTACAAAAGCAACTAGGAGAGATAGCAGAGATTCCATCTACTTGTTGTATTGGAACCAGAACATTTTTTTTCCCTACTGGAGATTCACCTAGCAGCAGGAACAAAAGACAGGTGGATTTCAAGAGGAGGCATGCACTCTCTTTTCACATTGCTAAGACATCTTGTTCTTGATTATGCCAAAATGATTTTTAGATTTACTTGTTTTCAAGGTGCATCTTAACACCAATCAAATCTTTGTTAGGTAAATAACAAGCTATCTACTTGCTGTGCTGTGCATTCAAAATACCTTACACTATTACAGTGAGTTCTGGGTCATTTTTATATGGGATTTGTGTGGTGCTTTTGACAATGGAGAAAAAAAAATCTCATTATTCATTCTTAGCTTGATTTTGACAAAAAGCTTTTTTTCTCTTTTTCTTTTTTTCCTACAAAACCCACATAATTTGGGCTCTGGAATTAATTTACATTTCTCACTACCATATCAAGTGGCAATTTTTATTTATTTACCATTTTTAGAAGCCTTGGTAGATTTTTAGTTTATTTATCTTTCTTGTTCCAATATAATATATGTACAATGATGTCTGAGACAACTTCACTAGCTAGGGCAAGTTGTAAAATTTCATTTTTAAAAATATTTATGATTAAATATTGTCTAATAAGTACTAGTAATGGTGGTGAAAGAATTAGACATGTTATAAAAATGTGTGAACTTCAGTGAGAGTCAGACAAATTACAAATACTGTATTTAAAAATACAAGGCTGCTTGAAGCTGTTATATGTTGAAGCAGGTAAACAACACACAAGAAAGCCACATGATCTGAAGTCATATAGAAATTTAAATAGTATTTAAAAACTGAACACATACTTTCAATAGTTAAATAAACTGAGTAGTACAGTTTAGCCCACTATTCTTCAAAGATGTTAGTTATCCTAGGTTTCAAAGACAGCCTTTTCGGGTTTTTCTCATTTCAGGTGAGTGATTCAGAGAAGTTTAGAAAACATCAGACAAATATAGTTTAAGTAAAAAAAATAATTTGTTTTGCTTCAAAATAGAAACTAATATTCTATGGCTAAAGAGCTATATTATTGCTATTATATTTTCACTGCAAAATAACAGTGAGGAATTGATTTTCAGAATATTCACTTACATTAGCACCTTTCCAAGCACAATCTTCTAAGACAGTATTTAAGGCTACATAGTTTTATCATTTTCATAACTTGCAATATGTTCATTAGAGCTATAGCAAGTTATGCCTAATTTAGTTGCTTCATTAAAAAGTACTGAATAAATAGTCGAAACAAACTGTATCAGGCAGGTCCCATTTAATTCCCCTGGGTATCAGGGGCTAATTTCTGTTGGCATGAAAGGAAGCCAGATGCACCCCATAGTCAAAATTTATTTCTTCGATTCAATAAGAGTAGCATGGTCACAATTTTCTTCATTTGTCTACAGCTTCACTGCCAGAAATTCCTAACTTCATGTAAGTAATAAAGATTTTCCTGTTTTTCTTTTTATGACTTTTGAACAAAGTTATTGACAGACTCAGGAATATGAGCTTCTCTCATGCATTCTTCATTTTAGATTAATTTTCTGAAATTCTTCCTATCTCATTATGCTGCCTGCAATCTGCACGTGTACTATATTGTCTTTGTCTCCTATAAAGACTTATAACCATTATGCAATTTTAAACCGTTTCCACAAAATAGTATTAAATTCAAAACTCTACATTTTCTTCCAAACTAGTAAAATTATTTTAAAAGCAGCCCCAGAAAATCCTGACACAATAAGGAACAACATTTAGTAATTGAAAAATCTTTATTTATGCCAATTTAATTTTAGAAACTAAGTATTATGCAAGACAGGACAACCAGAAAGAGGAAAAAATTAGGTGAAAAACTATGTTTGACTTTTTCCTCTGTCTTGTGAAATGAAAAGCAATCCCTAGCCACAAATAAAGAAGCTCAACTCCTGTAAATACTTCATGACATCTACTTCATTCTGTCTCTTCTTCCCTGCCTTAACGGCAGAAATTGTGTCTTCCTCTGCTTTACATGAAGTGTCAATCACTGATCATGTTATAAAGTATCCCAATTGAACATGGAACAGAAACAGATACTAGCTGAGATACTAGATACCATCACCACCTCACCCTCTGACAAACTGTTCAGCACCTGAAAAAACTGTCTGTTAAGGATATAATTGCTGCATAAAACCTAGAACACCAAACTTTGAAATTATATTTTGGATTCTAAAACCTAGCTAAGGAAGGTGCTAAATTTGACAGTAGTATCTATACCCAAGTAACCTGAAATTTGCTCTGGAGAAACTACAGCATATTCAAACATTGATGAGAGAAGAGGCAGCAGTGAAAGGCTGTCTTCCTGCAGCAAAAAGCCTGTCAAGAGGCAGTGACCTTCCAGGATTTGTGTCCACGTTCTCCATCCTTGGAAGGTCCAAGGGTTCCTAAGTTGTTTTGAGGCAATCCAAGACCAAGAACGGGCTCCAATGAAGGAGATAGAAAGATAAGAGTTGGAAGGAATATGTGAGCAAAAGAAAGTGCTGTAGGAAAGAAGCATGATGCAGAAGACCTGCCTTCAGATCAGTGCTTCAAATCCTCCTGGCAGCCTCTGAGGCACTAGACACTATAGCCTGGGAATGAGACTCTGAGTATCTTCAAATGTATATTGCTCTCATTAAGTAGTTAAAGGTTTAAATGTGAGCATGTATTACAAGCAAAAACTTTTCCCTTTAAATGAATACTGACCCTCCACCTAACTATTCTTTCAGCTTCATGGAAACAGTTTGATTTTTCAAATTTGTAATACTCTTTTACTG